GTCGCTGCGGATACCGACACGGGCGGAGAATAGTGCATTTTATTTCAATGGATTTTCTTCAAATTTGGTTTTGAAAAAATGGCTTGCAGACGCTGTGAGTTGGCTGAATGACATCCCGCGGTGCGTGGAATTGTACGCGGAGGAAGCCATGTGCTTGCAGTGTGTTCACTCTTTGCAACGCGGCCTTCGAACATCACTGCGCTTCCAGACAACTGGTCGCTGGCATTTGGTTTAGAGAGGACGAAGTTAAATGCCGTCTTGCGTCTGCATCGGAAGCACTTGGAGGAGGCTGTTAACTCGGGAAACAAAAATGTTCAGCTCCTCATCGAGACGCGGCAAACGAAGCCGTGTTACCCGACGGCGACAGCAGAGGGCACCCCAAGCCCCGCCCCTGCGGTTACTGCACCCACAGCGGGGAATCCACCCGACGCCCCTCCATCTCTACCACCGAAGAAAACAATGGAATTGTCTCCGCTCGTAGCTTCTTCATCCGGTATAAAAATTCCATCTACCACTCCACCGCTCGCAGTGGCACCCGTCGTCGCACCATTCAAACAGCTGGAGTCTCTCCATTCCGCACTTCAGCTCAATTTTGTTCCACGCAGCAACGCCGGCACGAACAACCACAACCACAAAAGCCCCAAAGTCACTGGGAGACACAACCAAAAATGTCAACGACATTGATAACCACCACCCGGTTCGGGCTGATATTCCCGATAGGAGTATGCCAACGGGAGGTGGCGTATCTGTTATTGCTAGGCAGTCGATTGAAGAAGAGTTCCACTTTGAAGACCTAAAGGAACTGCAGCGGAGGCGACGGCAAGAGGAGGAAAATGAAGAAAAACGAACAAAGCGGAGAAGGAGTAGTAGTCACCGAAGACGTCATCACTCTGGTGAAAGGCGCAAAGGTCGCTCGAGTGACCGCCAAAGGGAAGAGAGCCGTGGAGGAAGAAAACGGCGGCACTCTCAAGGAGGACACAAGAGTCATCGCAACGAACAACAACAACAGCATCGTTTCAACGCGTCCTCACAAAACTCGAGAAGTGACCGCAGGGATGAGAGACAGCGACATGATAACAGACCGCGCCACGATGACCGACAACGTCACGGGGGCCGCCAGCGTAACAATGGGAGACAACAAAGACGCGAAAGGTGATTCCCGTGTTGTTGTTTTATTTTGCTCTATGTGTATATGTGTGTGTGTTGCGTAAGTATGCGAAAAAGAGGGAGTGAGTGGGTGCGAAGAGGTATGGGAGCGGGGTTGCTCGAAATAAGATTGGAAAACGTGAAGCGCGACGTACGTCTATCCTTTAGTTTTTTTTTTTTTTTTAATGCCTATGTATGTACATATTTCTTAATAATTTGTTGACATCATGACTTTCTTCTCTCTTTTTCCTTGTTCGCGTAGGGCAGCACGGCCCAGTAGGTTTTGGGTGCGTTGGGACGAAAGCTGCGAGATTGCCTTGGGGCCTAGACCGTATGAATAGCCGTAGTAAAGGTAGCCATTATTATTATTATTATTAGTTTGGTTAGTTTTCACATGTACTCTTGCAGTGCACAGAGCGTTCCTGCGTTGCTCACCGACCTTGTTTTGCACAATTATGCCGACCACCTCACTTCACAACGTACACCACCGGCAAATTATCCGATCACAGAGACGAGAACAGATGCGGCTTCTCTGGAAGAGACGTTGGCGCCACTGCAACTAATTCATGGAAAGGTTTTTACTTCGGCTATCGGAATTGCACTGCATGGTGCCGAGTCTATTTTTCGCTATGTGGCATATGACTCCAGTGAAGAGAATGAAGGGGTACCGCATGACGAGGAACAGGAACGGCAAGAGGAGGTCAAAGATGAAAATGAGAATTTCAGAGGAAGGTGTTTGTATTTTGTTGGTGAGCACCGTCTTTTCTCTCCATATTACTGCCCATGTGGGGCTTATGGCTATCAAAGCATTCGACGACAGGAGGCGTGGCTATGTAAACATCTGCTTGCACTTCGTATCGCACTTATTTTGGAGAAAAAGGGCCTTGTGAGAGATGTCATACGGAAACGCCAAGTGACCAGATGTCAACTCCGGGAAATGATGCAGTCGCTGGATTGAGAGAGATGAGAAGGAGTTTGCTCTAAATCTTTTTCCCTTGTTTTACACTATATATGTATATATATGTATATATGGCTGATTGCGCGTCATATCAGGCATTATTTTTTTGCTCATTTTTCTTCTCTTCGTGTTGTTTTCTCAGTTATTGGGTGTACCACCGACGAAGCCTAGAAAGGGATTGAAATATTTTACAAAGGTTAGCTGGAAATATTTAATTTGCAGTCTTTTTTTTGTTTGTTTGTTTGTTGGTTGGTTTGATTGATTTCTCTTTGTTTATGGCCTCCTTTCCCGCCATCAGCAAAATACATCCCCGCAAGCAGGGAATATCGTCGAGACTCAGCAGACTGTCCTTGGAAGAGTCGGATGAGGTGCTGACGGAACGTAGATGCGCTGATGGAAACAACATTCTTCATGTGCTTTCTGCTCTCTGGAGCGTCTCACTGGAGCAACCTCAGCGGACACCGAAGGAGTTTTTCTTGCGACCAGCTGTGCCCATCCGCGATGTATACACAACGCGTCTCCTGGTTAACCTTCTTTGGTTTTCCAGAAACTATCACAATATGGCCCTGTTGATCTCATTATTTGTTATTTTTTGTGCACCTCCATGTGCATTGATTGTGACTGTGAGTTGTATCATGCACATTACGAAGCGGTACACTTCTCGAGGGACGCCGAGCACAGTCTCAGATGCAACAAAGAAGACCCGACGTGAAAGTGGTCGTAGTGGGATAATGGTATTGCTGACACTCCTGCAGATCGGTTGCTGCATTTATGTCTGGTACCTGTGTGGTTTTTTTTCTGTTGTCATGTGTATTGCTACTGTGGCGACACCCATAGTTGCTCATGCCTTTTTCACACCTTACACGGATGATGCTTTTGAACTTTACTGTGAGTTTCTCCGAAAGAGGTACCTACCAGCACCAAGACTGTGTTCACCGACACGTTCGTTTTCCTCAGTGGACCCCACTTTTGAGGTTCTTAATAGGCTTGGATCGATTTCAGTGAGTCCTACTCATAGTAACAGTGGGAGAGGTAACAGGCCATTCATTTCACCTCATTCCTTCACGCTGCCTTTGTGTACACACAAAAAAGAAAAGGCAGAGATGCATTTGCGGATGAAATACCTAGAACCACCCGAGTGCCAAGGAAGATATTCCCCGTCGAGCGAAACTCTCACGGAGAATTCATCCTTCTCTAAGGAGGTAATTGATGAATGCATGGATCCTGTTGAACTTGCAACACCTGTAGCTGGAGCCGAGAATTCCACGGAGGTATGCGCTGCCGCCTCACTGAGACATTTGAAGTTACACCTAAACATCGAAGGGGTCACTTTGCTTCAACAGTCCCAAGAGTCCGGAGTACTTCAGCCTTTACAAGACCCACTCGACGGTGATAACAATAACGGAGTGGCCACATGTGAAGAAGAGAATGAAAATTACCCATGTGAGAGGCGATGTACGACAGAGTCGGTGGAGGAAAAAGAGGAAGAGGGGATGTCACTTGTTGGTAGTATTCTCACAGAGAACATATCCTCCGCACTTTCATCGCAGGCCACTGCCAGTCCAAGATGCGGGAGGTGCGTGAAGGGAATACGGCTCGTTATGGAAGTTCCAGTGGACGCGGACAAGTATGAGTGCAAATGGGAAAAATCGGAGACCGTGATGAATCCGGAACAAGGGGAAGAATAGGATTCAAAATTGAATTGAAATGAATCATCATTGGCGCCTCAAAAAGACGTGAAACCCATTTCTGAAACCCCATACGTGTGAATTATTTTTCTTTTTGAATGAATTATGCTTCTCAATAAACGTGTAGGATTCATTTCATTAGATACATATTGATTTTTCTTCTTGCTGCAGAGAGAGAAAGAAGGGAATTGTGGGGAAGTGTGTATTATCATTAAGTATATATTTTTCTGAGGAGAAGGAGAGGTTATTTATGGTGAACAGTGTCAGTTTAATAAATTTGGGAGGTGCGCGAGTGTATTTGTGCTTGATAAATGTGAACACCATGGTAATGTGGGTACGTGCTAAATATTTCTTTTAGTCGGGAAGAGGAAAATGGGTGAAAAGGACGGGTTTATATGCGGTATCAATGTGTGGGCTTGCAATTTTTTCAGAAAATTCTGGAATGTGCGGCCAGATAGGGCACGGTGGAGGGTAGCGAGTGTAATTTTTCTTGTTTTTCTTGTTTTGTGCTCGTACGTTTGACGCATAATTTTTTTTGTGTGTGTCTTCCCAAATAAATTCGATTGCTCACACTGCGTTAACACCCACCCCCAGGTCTCATTGCGTTATAACTGTATCCCAGCAGGACGCGGCTGGCCCAGGCGCTGGTTGATGCCTCCAGCCCTGTGCCCACGAAAAATAAAAATAAAAATAAAAAAACAATCCTGTGAGGGAATTACTGCCGTCTCCTGGCTTACTCCGATAGTACAGGGTGATCAACCGTGACACCACGGTGAGGGATCAGAGCATAAGATCACCAAGGGGCCGCAATCGGGGGAAAAACGAGAAGAAAAGTGAGGGAAAAAAGTGGGGAGGGTCGAAGGGGATTGATAGTGAAGATTTCATGGAGGTATATTTGGCAAGTTTTTTCCGTGTTTTTTTTTTCTTTTTTTTTTTTTTTGCCATCTCATGAAGTTGACATGAGGAATACCATAAATATTTCGGCGAGAAGTTTTGTTGTTTTTGTTTTGTTAATTGATCCACTGTCGTTCATTGTGGTTTCATGCGTCTGAGCCGGAAGGTGACGGCCATGGGAACCTGCTTTGGTCCTGCCTTGTGTGTGAGATTTTTTGTTTCATTCTCTTAATTCCGGTATGAGTGTGCCAGCAGGCGGGGCTCAGTGGATGGTCGACTCTTGTGTTTTAGCTCTTCTGCCCTTACATCTATATATATAATATATATTATATTAGCTTTTATATTTTTAGCGGCCCCGCGTTGGTATGAAAAACTGCATGTTTCTTCTTTTTTTTTTTTTCTCTCCCGCCATTCCGCCGGTTCTGCCTTTTCTGTTTTTTACGTGGGGAATTTTGTTGGTTGGGGGGCCTTTGAAGAGCGCCAGTCGGTAAGTTCTCAACGAGCATGACTGTTGCAGATTGAAATAATGCCTTCACGGGCGTGTGGGTGTTGGATGAATCGCATTCAAAGAGGGAATATCGGGGGCTGTGAGTCAAACTCTGATCGTCTCTTCTTGTTCCCCTTTTCGCATCGGAAGAGGGGGAAAAAAGTCCCAGCGAGGCGCAAAATATTTTTTTTTTTAACAAAATATTTGACGAGTGCTTTTCCTTTTTTTTCTTTTTCTGAGGGGGGAAGTGGGACGCGTATAATATTATATACACATATTATATGTAATATTCGTGCGTGTCACTGTTTCACAAGTATTTGTTGTTGCTGACTCATACACATACCCGTACGGGTAGAGAAGCTCCCCCCTGCTACGCATACACACACAAGAATCAACTAATATATATTTATATTTATATCGATAAAAATAAATCGACATAAAAAACATAAGAGTGAGAGTGAGAGCGAGAGAGAGAGAGAGTTTGATGCATGTTGCGCTGTCTCACAGCGGTATGGCGATGTGCGGCAAAAGATGGTAAAGGGAACGGGAAGCGCGCTTCTTTGGCGCGGCGCACTGTCATTCACTCTCGTGTGCCTTCTATCGGCCCTTCCTACGCTTCCCTTTCTTCGCTCGGCGGAACTACCAACCACGGCGAACTTTCAAAGTGTTTTTCTAGCTCAAAGGCAGCAAAGGGAACAACTGAAGGAAAAATGTCTGGTAATAAGAGCGTCAGTGGCGGAGGTCCACTTGAAAATTTTGACGAAGAACTAAACTTTTCCAAAATGGAGGAAGAGGTGCTGCAACACTGGGAGCGGGTTGATGCATTCCGCGAAACCCTCAAGCAGTCGAAAGGAAAAAAACCATACAACTTTTATGATGGCCCACCCTTTGCCACCGGTTTGCCCCACTACGGCCACCTCTTGGCTGGCACCATCAAAGACATTGTCTGCCGCTACGCCCACCAAACTGGCCACCATGTGGAACGCCGGTTTGGATGGGATTGCCACGGGCTTCCTATTGAGTTTGAGATTGACAAGACACTTGGAATTAAATCTTCCCACGATGTGAAGGCCTATGGGATTGCCAAGTACAATGATACGTGTAAGAATATTGTGATGCGTTATTCGGAGGAGTGGCGCAGGACAGTAAATCGCATGGGGCGTTGGATTGACTTTGATAACGACTACAAGACGATGTATCTTTCTTACATGGAGTCTGTTTGGTGGGTTTTTAAGGAGTTGTGGAATAAGAATCTTGTTTATCGCGGGTTTAAGGTGATGCCATTTTCGACAGGATGCACAACTCCACTCAGTAACTTTGAGGCCAATTCAAATTATAAGGATGTGAGCGATCCATCTGTAATGGTTACTTTCCAGACAAGGGATGATCCAAACACGTACCTTATAGCTTGGACAACGACACCGTGGACACTGCCAAGTAATTTGGCACTTTGTGTACATCCCAATTTGGACTATGTGAAGGTCTTGGACACAAAAACAAAACGACACTACATTGTCGGTGAATTGCGCCTTGGAGAAGTTTTCCCAAGCAAGAAGAAGGGTGCTCATAAAGGAGATGAGGCACCGCCATACGTTATTGTTACTCGCATGAAAGGAACTGAACTTGTCGGGACAAAATACGAACCACTCTTCCCCTATTTTAAATCGACCTATGGGGAAACCGCTTTTCGTGTTATTAGTGATACTTATGTTACAACAGATAGTGGTACATGCGTCGTGCATCAAGCACCTGGATTTGGTGAGGAGGACTATCGGATATGCATCTCTAACGGTATTTTAAAGAAAGAAGAAGTGTTGTGTCCTGTTGATGAAAACGGGGTGTTTCATTCGGATGTGACTGATTTTTGTGGCCGTTACGTGAAGGAAGCGGATTCAGACATTTTAAAGCACTTGGAGTCGAGAGGGTTGGTGCATAGCAAAGGATCCGTGGTCCATAGTTATCCTTTCTGCTGGCGAAGTGAACTACCTTTGATCTACAAGGCGGTGGACTGTTGGTTTGTCAATGTGGAGTCGTTACGTGACCGTTTGTTGGCGGCGAATGATAAAACGAATTGGGTTCCCGAGTTTGTGAAGACCCGGCGTTTTTCCAACTGGCTAGCAGATGCCAAGGATTGGAATCTTTCTCGCAACCGCTACTGGGGCACACCCCTGCCCATTTGGCACAGCGAAGATTGGGAGGAAATGGTGTGCGTCGGTAGCGTGAGGGAGTTGGAGGAGCTTTCCGGTGTGACGGGCATTACAGACATACACCGACAATTTGTGGACAACATTACGATTCCAAGTAAGCGACCAGGCATGCCTCCGCTGCGTCGTGTGGAGGAGGTGTTTGACTGTTGGTTTGAGTCTGGATCGATGCCGTATGCCCAGTCTCACTACCCCTTTGAGAATCAGAAGGATTTTGAGACGCATAGGTTTCCAGCGGATTTTGTGGCGGAAGGATTGGATCAGACCCGGGGCTGGTTTTACACCCTGCTTGTCCTTGGCGTTGCCCTTTTTGACGTCTCGCCCTTTAAAAATGTTGTTGTCAACGGTCTCATCCTCTCGGAGGATGGAAAGAAGATGAGTAAGCGGTTAAAGAACTATCCGGAACCAAATATTATAATTGATACATATGGTGCCGATGCACTGCGTATGTATATGATTAATTCTCCCGTGGTTCGTGCCGAGCCGCTGCGTTTCCGCGAACAGGGTGTGCGAGGCATCGTCAAGGATGTGTTACTACCACTTTTCCATGCAACTAAATTTTTTATTGCAAACGCCAACTACTGTGTGTTGAGCGGTGGAACTGTTTCTCTGGATGTCGTCAGCACAAATGAGATGGATCGATGGATTTTGGCGTCAACGCAAACCTTGCAACAATATGTACGGCGGGAGATGGAGCGGTACCACTTGTACAACGTCATTCCAGGTGTTTTCCGGTTTGTTGTGGATCTTTCCAACTGGTATGTTCGTATGAATCGCCGCCGTATGAAGAACGCTGTGGATCAAGAAGATCGTTCACAAGCTTTATCTACGATGCTGACAGTTCTCTTTTCCGTTTCCCGCATACTGTCCCCCATTGTTCCGTTTGTGGCAGAGATGTTGTACCAACGCATCAAACCACTTCTTCCTACGTCTGAGCAGGTGGATTCCGTGCACTACCTCATGTTCCCTGAAGATGATAAGGGGAAACATGACGAACTATTGGAACGTGCCATGACACGTATGATCACCATTGTCGATCTTGCTCGTGTGCTTCGGGACCGTATGGTGATCTCCATGAAGCGTCCTGTAAGGCAAGTCATTATTGTGCATCCTGATCAGTCGTATTTGGACGATGTTCGTAAGGTGGCTGAGTATATTAAGGATGAGATTAACACATTTGATGTGGTTCTGTCATCTGGCGAAGAGTATGTTTCAACACACTTGGATGCCAATATGGAGGCTTTGGGGAAACTATACCGCAAGGATGCTCCTCAGATCCGTAAGGCGATTCAGCAACTGACTCCAGAGGAGGTGGCAAGGTTCATTCAAAGTGGGAAGATGGAGGTGTGCGGAAAGCTCATCACCGTCGACGATGTCAAGGTGGTGCGCAAGATCAAGGATGGCTTTACGGATTTTGAGAGCAACACCGACAACGATGTGGTGGTACTTTTGGACAAACGCGAGGAACAGGCTCTGGTGGATTCCTGGCGGGCGCGGGAGTTTGTCAACCGCGTGCAGCAGCTGCGAAAAAAGGTGAAGCTTGTGGTAACAGACATGGTGGACGTGTACTTTGAGTCAGGGGACGTGGAGCTCACGAACTCCATCCTCAATTGTGCAGAGCAGGTCAACAAGACCATTCGGGGCAAATGGGAGACGATGGATAAACTACCGGCAGACGCGAAATTTGTTGCCGAAGAGGACAACAGCATTTCCGGTGTTGGCATTAAGATTGTCTTCACGGAGGTTTCGGCCTGACGTCGAACTTTCGGCGTTGGTTGTCGACATGCCCTTCCTACTTCCTTTTTTTTTTTTTTTGGCGTGTGTGTGTGTGTGTTTTGTTGGTTTTATTTAACCGCATTGATTTCAATGAGCTCCCGTTTTCCGCATATTCATTTTTTTTTTGCTTGTTTTTGTTGTTATTGTTTTCTTTGTCTCCATTTCCACAATTTTTTGTTTGTTGTTGTGTGTAATGTGTTCAGTACTGGAGGGCCAGCCAATGCTGTTCGATGTGCGTTGCTTTTTTCTTCTTGTTTGTTTGTTTGTTCCGCCCGTTTGTTTTGTTGTTGTTGTTGTCGTTGTGGCAGGCAAATGGGCTGTGGTATTTGCTCCCCGAAGTGGCGCAGAATTATGCAAGAGTGAAGTGAGGCAAAGACCGGAATAAAATCAATGAAACAAAATAAAAAAAGAAAACAAAAGAAATCCATTTAATAAATTACTATTATTATTATTGTTATTGTTCATAAGCACACCAATCACAATATAATTTAATCTTAATTATGCGAAGCGCGCTGCTATAACGCAGTGTTTAGGTGAGGACGGCTACGCGCCAAGAATTAGGTAGGCAAGGTTGAGGAGGGAAGGGGAACCGACGTAGAGGCAAACGGAGAAGGAAAGAGGAAGAAGGGAAGGAAAGGAAAGAAAAGAAAAGCTAGCATTATTTATATTTATTAATTTTAGATGTAATCTTGTTTTGGAAAGACTTGTTGTAGTATTATTATTAATTTGGTAATTATAAAATAAACTAAATAAATATATACATTACCCCGGTAAGTGGACTTTGTTTTCTCATGTGCAACTTGTATACATGCATGCACAATGTCACACACATTCCCCTTTTCTTATCTTTCTATTTTCACACATATGCACTTTTTTTCCTTTTTTTTATTTTTTGTCTGTGGGCTGATGTTTGTGTGTGTGGGGGGCTTTTGCGCTTTGAGAAAAGAAGGTAAATGGGGGACTTGGTTGCCAATGTACTCTATTGGCTCCCCACTGCGCTGATGACTCTTGTCACGTGTGTGACGATTTTTATCGCGGTGGGCTTGGCCCAAGGGTTCTTCCGAAATAGTTTGTTGTCATTGTCGTGGCGTAATATTTTGTTCTTTACTGCCATGTCGTCTCGTCAGAAACAGCTTTTGGCCTCCATGCAGGCGGAGGAGCTGGTGGAGGCTGCGTTGCGTTCGGCTGGCTGGAAACATGTATTTCTTCGCCGACGTGTGCCTGTGCAGCGACTCGGGCACAACCGTGAGATTGATGTGGTTGCAGTGGGCCCTGTTGTACTTGTGGTGGAGGTAAAACATTGGCGTGGGCAAGTCTGGAGCAACGGCTCGCGTTGGTTCCAGCTCCCCGATAACTCCAAGCGCGCGTTGGAGTTTGAGGATATTCTAGAAGATAACTTAGTGAAGGCGGCTGCACTTCGTCGATTTATAGAAAATGACCGAAGAATACCGCTTTCAGACCATCACATGCCCGGAAATCATCGTTCACCAACCGAGGAGGGTGACATCACGCAGGATAAATCGCGGGGGCACGGCACTTGGTATACAGATCGTCGTGTTCATAAGCAATGTGGTGAGTTTGTTCTCCCGGTAGTTGTCTTTACGAATCCTGCCGTGGTATTAGACCCCAGCACTGTTAAGCAAAAGGAGCGTGTCTTTAGTCTTGCTTCTTTCCAGTTGTTTGCAGAGCAACTTATGCAGGAAATGCGAGGACCCTTGGTGCGTGGTGGAAGGCCTTGGGGGCGCTTAGCACAAAGGTTGCGTTCGATCCTTCTTGGGTCGGTGCAGCGACCCTCGGCGATTTCAATTCACGTGGAGGAACGGGTAGCCGCTGCCGTGGAAACAATGCGGACGTGGGACATGATCTACCTGCACAGCGGCCGTCTGATTCACGGCGATGTTACGGAACTCCATTTGTCTTCTATAAAACTTTGGATTGAGCGGAAGCACATTTTGGATGTGGAAGTTTGGTGGTTTGATGGATTTATTGGCTTGCTGCGGGGTCTTTGGGAAGGCAGTGGCGGAATGGTGCGTGTGCGATTTGACGCAGCCCAGCGATTGTTGATGGGGCGGGATGAAATTGCCATCCCCATCGCACCAAGAAACCTGAAGCATATGACGGCTAACGATCGTCTAGTGGTGAAGACGGCCGGAAGCAGAGTTACGGTGACGGTGGCCCTGGCGGATGTATGCAGACTGCGATTTAGTCACCATATGGAGGATTCACATATTTAACGCAGTTGGAGGAAGACGAGTAAACAAACAACCCTTTTCCTGTGGCTCAGTGAAAAAAAATTAGTCTGCGTGCATCTGTTTGGGAAAGGATGGAGGGAGATGAAATAAGTGAGCGCTTCCTGTATATCATTATATGTGTGTATATACATGCGTTATAGTCGAGTAACCAGGGAACATAAATTAATAAAGGTGTGGAGGTTTACGCCGAGACACACACACAAAAAAAAAAAAAAAAAAAGTGCGGGCGGTGATGGACGGATGAAGTGTTTTTCGTTTGTTTGTTTGAGGGGAAACATTGCATTAGAAGTGGCGTAATAAACTCAACACTTGGCAAATACATGAAATCTACAAAAAGAAAGTAAAGGGATACACCGATGCATCCGTTTCTTTTTTTTTTTCTTTTTTCTCTCCTCTACCTCACCTTTTGTTTTTTCCGTGTGTGTATATGCACAGAGATGATAATTTTGGAATTTTTCTTTTTTCCATTTTTTTCCTCTCTCCCTCTTTCCCTTCCTTTTTTAATCTGTTATTTTTGCTCGTGTTGTCCTGCAAGGATAAAAATGAGGAAAACACAAAGCAAATCTACACGCCAGAAGCGCAAAAAAAACACTTCAATGGACCTCAGAGTCGGAGTCCTTGGAGAAAAGGAAGACATGAAGAGTAGTCGCGGCGGTATCTTGTTGGAGACACGACCATCCCCGGAGGCGTCGAATCCTGCGCGCGAGATCTCGTTGAACTCCGACATGCCGCCTTCCAGCAGGCAATGCGATGGTGCGAAGCCCGCTTTTATAGTTGTCCAAGAAGGAAAGAGCAGTGAGGTTGCAGAACAGGCGCAGTTTCTTCATGTTCGTTTTTTTCTTTGGCCGATTGTGCGCGGTTGCCGCGGGACTCCCAGCATGGAGCATTTGACCCCGAGGTTGCAGAAAATTGCGCAAAGTGCTGCGGCTGTGTTTCCGGCGGGTACAACATTTGAGGTTCGGCGTGAGGTCCGCATCAATCGTTGCTTAACTCTAAGGGATCGCACACACTGCAGTAATGTTTACTCAAAAAGTGATATTTCAAAGCGGAGGATCACCCTATGCGAGGAGCATCGAATTTTGCGTGATGAGTACGCAGCTTCTTTCTCTCCTTGCGACAACCTGCCGTTTGACATAGCGTTCATATTTGATCCCACAATCCGAGCAGAGGTGACACATTATACGAACATGCGGCATACCTTAGAAAGGGAATCAAGTGTGGTTCCAGGCACGTACTTTGTGGCGGTGTTTAATGGCACGGAGATATTTTCTATTCGTGAGCTCGTGGAAGCCTTTTTTCGTGTCTACTTGGAGAAAACCGAGGGGGAAATTGAGGAAAATCACCCTTTCCCCCTTGTTATCCCCCCGAAGAAGGGCACATATCACGAGGTGTTTCATTCGAACCGGGCAGAGGAGTTTGCTTCGGGGCAGGAAGAATATCATGAGGAAGAGATCTCAATCCCGGTGGAGTTGGTGTCACCCCGTGTCTTTTTAGAGGCAAGAGAGCATCATAGGTTGTTAGATGGCCCTGTGCAACAGGTTTTGGTTTGTGACAGGGAATTGGGTGTAATGGTGCTGGGCCACGCAATTGACAAGCGTATTCTCGGTCCTCCGTCACGTCCACCGACGGGATCCACGCGATCTATAGACTCTAAAGAGATGGTGCAGAGCAGGAGTCAAATAATAAAAAAGAAACCGCATGTGATTCTTGAAGTACCATCACCAATCTTACCGCCATTCAAGCTGTGGCATCTCACCGGTGCCATTGTGGAGGCGGTCGGTCTCTTTACTCGTCCTTATTCATCCGTTCCGGAGTTTCGGGTTAGGTACAGCACTCATGACGATGATGATGTTGAGATTTCACAATGGGCACAGAAATCAAAGAGGAAGCGAGAGAGAGAGGATGCGTTTGGCACCACACACAACATTATGACTTTGGAGGATGCCCACCAGATCTTATCTGGTGCCCAAGAAAAGGAGAGGTCAAAGGGAGACCAGGGAACACGAGACATATCCTTTTCTTTCAGTAACAATGGCAACTCGACCTCTTTCAATGGAACCGTGGATGCTTTTAGATTGCATGACGAGATGGGCCCAACACTCGGATGGCTGTTGCGCTTTAGCACGGCGTTTGCTTTTGCTTAGAGGATTTGTTAGGGAGAAGAGGAGAAGAGGGAATGAATGCCAATGTAAATAATTGGTGAATTGAGAGCTAGCAAGGGGGGAAAAAGACAAAGAAAAGGAAAAAATGTGTGGCACACTTGGCGATGTCTGAGGCTTCCACGTGATTTTCTCCTCGTTTTTTTTTTTTTTTTGTGTGTGTGTGTGTTGTTCTTTTTTGTTGGTGTTGTAAAAAAAAAAAAAAAAAATTTATTTCGCTCACTGTGCAGCCACTGCAGCTCTGGGGGGACGTCGTTTGTAGAGGGAGCGAAGATGAGATTACAAAAGGAAAAATTAAAATGAAAACAATTGCCGCAGGGAACTTTGAAAAACGAAGAAAAAAGAAAAAAAAGGTGATGTTCGGGTTTATAGCATTGGACGTATTACTCAGAAAAGTTACCGTCTTAAATTTTTTCGAAGGGGAGGGGGGGAATTTCTTATTTATTTATTTATTTATTTATTTTTTGGCTCATTGTTGGTTGTCCCCAAATATTCATTTCACTGGTATCGGCATTTCTCCTGTCTTCTTCTCCATTTTTTTTTTTTTTTGTTGTTGTTGCTTTGTTTAATTGGAGGCCCCTTTTTCTTTTTTTTTTTTTTTTTAGGAGCGGGTTTGTTTAAGTAGTCGGTGTGACGGATGATCGCGACGCACTCAGAGGAGAGAGAGGGGAGGGAGGGAGTGAAGGGACATGGCACGTTGCTACGAATGTCGTTAATGGATACGGAGTAAGTGTGACACTGTGCCTGAGATTATTCTTATCGAATTGACCCCGAACGAATAATGTGAACGGGGGCTTAGGGTGAAGGAAGTACATATCGTTTTTTTTTTTTTGTTGTTGTTGTTTTTGTTTGTTTGTTTGTTTTGAGGGAGATTTGCGCGGATTTTGAGGATGGTTTTTTCACTTTCTCATTGTTTCCTATTCGTATTATTTATTTATAATTTTTTCCGCGGTCGCATACCGGACGGAGGCGGGGCGGTGAGGGTAAATTGCCGCTTCTTCGTGTGGGTGTGGTGTCGGCTCCTGTTGAATTGCAGCTGGAGCATGCGCCTGACTTTTTTTTTCTGTATTTTTTTTTTTTTGCTGTTTTTGATCGCATGAAAACGCAAAAAATAGTAAATAAATAACGTAGAAGGGGATACATTGCGCCGAGGTACGAGAAGATAAGAAGGAGCATTGACGGGTAACTCTGCCACCAATTTTACTGTTGGTGTGGTACATGCTTCAACGCAGTTTTGTTGTGCGTTGGGTTCCACGTTACATCCGTCAGGCTCCTCAGGTGCGACAGAAGGAGCAACGAGATGCGGTGGCCATGGGGCGCTCGAAAGCCCCTTCAAAACGACGCGCGGAGTGTTCAGCCGTAAGTAAGCGTGATGGAGGAGTGGCGAGGGCAACACAGGAAAAGCGGCTTGAAATAACTGAGAAGGCATCGACTGTGTTGGAATCACCTGTTTCTGACGTGTCACGCCTGCTGCTGCGGAAGGCAGAAACACTTCTTGATTCCTGGAAAAAGTTAAACATGACGATGGCAATCAGCGGCAGCCGGAGCGATTCTTTAAGGGGGATGAAGAACTCGTCTTTAAATCAAAAGCGAGATGCTGTGGCGTTCATGGCGCAAACTGAAGTCTTTGCCGTTGTTAAGGGCATGATTCACTTGTCGACACCTCAAGAAGGCAGTTTGAATCGATGCGAAGAGGAGAATAAACACGACGGCCTACGACAGAACGCATTTCAGGAATACAGATCTACTAATAGTATCAGCGGTATGGTGGTCATCCCCGATGAGGCCACGAACGATGCAGTGAATTATTTGGCGCAAATAGGGAGGCATTGCGTGGGCAAAGTGCAAGACGAAGTTGCTTCATTGGATGATTCATCCCCCACCTCATCTGCAATATTCTCTTTGCGTGAAGTTGTGGTATTTCTCGAACTTTACAATGCCATGGATTGTGAAGATGGTGAGTTACTTCTGCGGTTACTTGAGGAATTACGACGCATCGTCTTTTCCACAGAGAAAGAAATCCGTACTGAAAATCATGTGTTGAGGAAATGTGAAGAGGGTGTCATCCCACGGCTCCTCCTTACGCTCTCTAGTCTTGGGATAGTGGAAGAGCACGTCCTGCAACGAATTGTAGCCATCAACGATGGGTCCGTTTTGTCCAGAGCGAAGATTGCTCGATACCCAGAATCCGATCTTATTCGTTTGTTGGTTGCGTTGAACCGCTTTGGCCTCCACCATGAGCCCTGTTTTCATGTGACGGCAAAGACTTTAAGACGCAATTCGTTGCGTAACCCGCTCAAGTCGTTTTGCAGAAATGCTTTGAACTTTAGGGTGGATGCTACCTCCATAGGAGACGGGGAAAGGAGTCGCGTTCCTTCCTCCATGGCCGGACTTACCATGAATGAATTGCTGGAAGCACTGACAGCCATAGCGCTTAGTTTGTGCCGGGAGAGGGAGGTTGTAAAGTTACTCGCGGCAACGATTGTTACCGCCGTCGAGGACGAGGAATATATGAGGTGTTCGACCAAAGAAAAGGCAAAGACACGAGAAGAAGACTTGGGTTTGCTTCGAACGCTACAAGTCCATCGTGCGGCTAAAGTTTGTGAGCAAATGGATATGCCCCAGCCATCGCTGGCACACCTGCTCCATCGACTTTCTATTCGTTATGGCGGGCTACTTGCTGATGGTGGCGACGTTTCGTTGAGCCCAGAGCGGGTTGGT